CTTGTTGTTGAGCTTGTTGTTGAGCTTGTTGTTGAGCTTGTTGTTGAGCTTGTTGTTGAGCTTGTTGTTGAGCTTGTTGTTGAGCTTGTTGTTGATCTTGTTGTTGAGCTTGTTGTTGAGCTTGTTGTTGAGCTTGTTGTTGAGCTTGTTGTTGAGCTTGTTGTTGACAAGCTTGTTGTTGACAAGCTTGGTGTTGTCACGCTTGGTGTTGACAATCATCTCCTTGAGCTTCTTGTTATTGAGCTTCTTGTTGAGCTTGTTGAGCTTCTTGTTGAGGGGCTTGTTAAGCTTGTTGTCATTGTTGTTGAGCTTGTTGTTCTTGTTGTTCTTGTTGTCACCATTGTTGTCATTGACGATACCAAAAAGTTCTTACTATGAAGGAAGAAGAATCATTCTTGTAGTAGATCCTTCTTCTCATTACAGCCAGCCAGTCGGATTTTCCAAAAGGAGCTTCCTGCTGCTTTCTGGTGTTGTTCATGCTACACTTCCTGAATCTGAAAGAAGTTTCTCAATACATTTCTGCCCTAATTGGTAGTTTGTACTAGTAGAACAGCAGTACTAGTAAAAGTAAGAGTTCTTTGTCTTTCAGCAACAACCTCCCAACAAATACTGCTGGTAGGCTGAGAAGAGTGAGCACTTTGCAATGGTGGTACCCTCAGCTTGTCATCTTAGAATTCTTTGGTTTTAGTGGAGGAGATATTGTACTACTACTAATTCCCATTGTTGTGTTGAGGTGGATTTGTTTGGTGAGTGCAGGTTGTGTATTTTTTTGTGTAGAACCTGGTAGGGTCACTATACAGACAGAACTGTTGTCAAACTTGTTGTCATATGTACTAGATAGTCTTACTTGTAGTAGTACAACATACCTACAAGGAGGGACCCCTAGTAGTACTACTAGTAGTACTTCTTACAAGTTACAAGACTTCATATCATGCTACTACTACCTATTGGAGTTTGTCATTATCATTAGTACTACCATCACCACATACTTGCTTGGTACATAGTATGACTAATAATAATACTAGTAATACTACTAGTAATACTTCCTCTCCTAGTAGCACCAAGTATGTACTGTAGTGAGTAGTAATACCACCAAATAGCTAAGAAATTACCGTACTACAGTATCACTGCTGTGTTGTACCAATTTTATGTGTCTTGATGGCTACAAAATTTGTCACAGTTTAATGTTTCTTTGATTTCATGTGTGTGTGGATTCTGTTCTTTCTTTCCACAGGTACCAATTGTCCAGTAGACTGCTAGAGTCAAAGTACTAATCAACAAATCTATTGTACAGAGTTGGCATCCAAAAAAAGCACAATTGGATTGTGGATTTTTTATGCTCAATATTCGTACATGTATATCAATAAATACTATCAGGATCCCAAAACTCCCCCACATGACTTTACTATTCATGTTTAAATGCCCTTTTGATTCATGTGCTTGTCATTGTTAAGCATCCGTTGCTGGGGACCAGCAAAATTCAGGTAAAGCTGTCAGTTCATGATTAAAACAGTTATATGGTTAAAAATAACAAGGTGCATAGATAATGGGCTATCTTTCTACAATGTAAATCTGTGTTGTACTAGGGCTACAGCAACGGCATATGGGAGCAAAACTATTTGGTTGTTGTACAAGTACGACACACTGGTGCTGGTGCTGGTAGTACTACTGGTAGTAGTACTGAGCATGTGCATTATGTAGGTATTTAGTTTTTTAGTCAAAGTAGTCATTATACAGAAAAAGATAGCCTATAATCTACAGCTGGATCATAGATTTAAATACCAACAACTATATGATATTAATCTACTGTTTGGCTGTCTACAAGAATCTGTACTTGTTGTTATGATCAGTACAACTGGGTCAGAAATAGGAATGGGATATTCAAGTGACATTCTTGGCTTCTCCTCTTTACTTCCAACCTCCAGCA